TGAAGAGGAGGCGGTGTGAGGGGTCGGAGCAAGCGGAGGGTGTGGGTTGGGGGTACCGGGCGGTGGCGGGGGGGACAGCGGTGTTATGGGCGGCGGGGGGAGGGCATCGCCGTGCGCTGAACCTTTGTGGGGGAGAGGTGTCTGAGGGGGAAGGGAGACTGCTTGGGGCCGAACCATTGCGGGGGGCGCCATCTTGGGGGCAGGAGCGTGGTGGGAGACGGGCGCCATCTTGGATCCGGTGTGAGGGATGGGCGCCATCTTGGGGCCGGTGTGGGAGTGGGCGCCATCTTGAGGCTGAGGGCTCGGGGTGTCCCCGCGCTCTGCTGTGGGGATGTCACCTCACGCCAACCGTCCCCTGGTTCCGTTCTCAGCCCTCTTTGTTCCCAGGTTGAGCCCAAGAGGCAGCGCGGCGTCCCCTCGCGCAGAGCACAATGGCGGCTGTGTGGAGAGCGCTGAGGTGAGAACAGTGCTTGGCCCTCGGGAGCCCCAGTCTGAGGTCTGAGGTGCGGGTTCATCACCTGCTGTGTAGTAATGAACCCTCATGCTCTCAGGAGGGACCTTATGTATTTGTCTACAGAATCACAGAATGGCCTGGGTTGGAAGGGACCTCAAGGATCATGAATCTCCAACCTCCCTGCCGCAGTCAGGTGTCCAGGCCTGGTGCTTGGTGCTTTCCCACAGATCAAACTCAGGCAGGAAACTGTTGACACAGTATTTATTCACAAACGTTACAAAGTTAGTAATTTTCCAGTTCTTAGCATGATTGGTTGCAGTTTTTCATAGAGTTATAGTGTTGCTGGCTCTATATCTCCTGCTACCTGCTCAGGGGAAGAGCCTTTGCATGGCTGTGCTTTTTAGTGCTACAATGAAGGCACTGCAGTGAAGGATTCGTGGGCCACGAAGATGATCAGAGGGCTGGAGCACCTCTCCTATGAGGAAAGGCTGAGGGAACTGGGATTGTTTAGCTTGGAGGAGAGAAGGCTCTGGGGAGACCTCTTTGTGGCCTTCAGTACTTGAAGGCAGTGTATAAACAGGAGGGAGAATGGCTGTTTGTGAGGGTGGACAGTGATAGGATAACAGGGAATGGTTTTAAACTGAGACAGGGGAGGTTTAGCTTAGATATTAGGAGGAAGGTTTTCACTTAGAGGGTGGTGAGGCACTGGAACAGGTTGCCCAAGGAGGTTGTGGATGCCCCATCCCTGCAGGCATTCAAGGCCAGGCTGGATGTGGCTCTGGGCAGCCTGGTCTGCTGGTTGGTGAGCATCAGAGCAGGGGGTTGAAGCTAGATGATCATTCTGGTCCTTTTCAACCCAGACTATTCTATGATTGTATGATTCTATGACCTTTACAGGTCCCTTCCAACTCAAATAGTGCTATAGTTCATGATTGCTTTGCCTCCCGCAGCGCCCCGCAGCCCCGCTGCCTGCACACCGCCTGCAGCCGCCACAACTCCAACCGCACCTCCATCACCCACCTCCGCCGCCAGGTGTACGGCCGCCTCTACCCACTGCTGCTGGTCCGCACTGATGGCTCCACCATCCACATCCGCTACAAGGAGCCCAAAAGGATCCTCATGGTAAGGGACTCAGCCCAACAACTAGAGATAAGGGCGCTCGGGGGTGTGTGTTGCTTTGGGTGCTGCAGCCTCACTTTCTCCCATCACTCCCTCCGCAGCTGCCTGTGGACAGCAGCACGCTGCCTGAGGCAGAGCGCAAGGCCCGGCTGCGGCGGCAGTTCCCCGGCAAGCTGCAGGCCAAGCAGGAAGAGGCCTTGGAGGAGCTGGACTTGGAGAAATACAAGAAATTTTGGAAGAAGTAAGGCACCGATTTGGGATCACCCCCCCACCAAGACTCCCTACCAAGCGGTGGCTGATGAACACAGCTATAGAAATAAAGAGAAGAGCAATTTTGTTAAGAATTTATTTGGTTTTGTTTGGTAGTTTTGCCTCATTTCACGCCTGCTTTGGGCGGCTCAGGGCAGCATGGCCGTTCACCCCTTTCCCCCCCCTCCCGACCTCCGCGTTGTGGTGGTACCGCCCGCCGCCCCTCTCGGCCCGGTGGTAGCGCCCGGGGCGGGGCTACAGCGCGCGGGCCCCGCGGCCCGGAGAGGTGCGTGCCGGGGGGGGGCCGGGCCGGGCCGGGGGGGTCGCGGGTTGGGCCGTTTTCCCCTCCAATGCTTCTGTGATCCCGAGTGTACGGCACCGGCCTTGGGGTCGCGGTTTCCCCC